CTCGGCGCCGCGGGCCCCGCGAGTCTACACGGGCCCTTCAGTCGCTCAGTCATGGCGCTGCGGGTTGTGCGTTTGCCACTAGCTGGCGATGTCTACACTCCTGCCAGTAATATGCAAACGAGCCTAAGCGTGGAATATCGCCAAGCCTCATTTGCATACCTAATGAGCTGCCATTTTTGCAGAAGAGGCTCTTGCACTGTCTACACTGCCCCTTCTTGCGCAACAAAACCCTCTTGTGCAATGCCGTTACGCTGATTATTTTCCAGGAAGAACGGAATTGCGCAAGAGGGTTTTGTTGCACAATAAGGGGCAGTGTAGACAGTGCAAGAGCCTCGTCTGCAAAAATGGTGGCTCATTAGGTATGTAAATGAGGCTTGACAATATTCCACGTTTAGTCTCATTTACATATTTCTGTTGCAAGAAGCCACGAGGGTAGACATAGCCTAAGTGTAAATGAGACCTTAGGATCAGGGTCTTCTGAGTACTGTTAACCTGATGCCCCTATGCCCAGTGCCAGCTACAGGTAGCCTTTTTAGATATGATTTTTATAATTTTCAGTATATCACTAATGAAATATTGTAAAGGAAACCTTAAGGTCCTATAGATACAGAAACTGACAGTATTTACCTGGGGTTGTCAAATGTCTGTTAAAGGGCTTCATTACGACATGAATGGCTCTTTCACAGGTTCCATGTTCTGCTCATAGCTCTGGCAGGCTTTTCCACTGTTAACCAGATCCTCTTGGGAGGAAGCCCAGCCACTAGGAAGAGGAAGGTAGGTGGACATTAAGACCCAGTGGTATCCCAAATTTTTGGATGCTTTATGCAGCTGTGTATTCTGCATATGGGTAAGGAGGGCCCTGCTGACCCTGTCAGACTAGCTTTTAAGTGTAGATGAGGCCTTAGGATCTCTATATTTTTGTTGATATTCCCATTCACTGGCAGATGCTGTTGTCTCCAAAAGCTATGAAAGTAAATTTACTCTGATTTTGTTATTGGTTGTAGAGAAATAGCCCAGTACGTAAAACCATGTAGTTCAACTTCTTGGTTGGAATTCTGAGGGTCATCTTTATTTTTTTCAGGCTCATCTTCTCTCCAAGCTCTCCATACCAGAAAGTCAAGTGGTTGTCATTAACTCCTCCTTAACTGTAGAAGAGGCTGCTTCAGACTATGCTGAGAAGTTAAAAGAGGTACTGGAGAAGTTTTGTTTTGCATACCAAACTTCTTCAAATAAAAGTGAAACTTACTGTTTTATTAAATATGTTTGCTATCTGTGTCACCGACAATACTTGCCGGTATTTTAAAATTTTTAAACACTTAATATTTCTCTTACTGCTAATGTTACTTGTTTTCTTACTAGTTTGCTTGGGAAACTAATTCAGGCTATAGTTTTTTTCTGACAATGCTATAGGTATAGTGATCGTATTTTTCTGAACCAAAAATAGGGAAACTTTGGCCACACCCCCTGAAACCACTGGCGACGCCCCTGGTTCCTTATGCCCTGCCCACCTGCTTCAGGAAGTCCCACCCCTGGGGTAGTACTTCTGGGGTCAAGATAAACAGTGACAAGAAGTAAAGGGTGTCATGTGATCCTCTAAGAACTCCTCCCTACCATAGAGATGGGTTAGGGCCCCATAGAAGCCCCCCATGCAACTATACTGCAATTGCATTAACCCAGGGTCCAGACCAAGGGTCCCATGACACTGCTGTACTAGGGGATTAAAACTGCGATTCAAGATTAGATCCAGGATCTAAGACCTGTTACTTTGCAGTGGAGATGTAGTCCCATTTGACTCTGAGCCTGGGAGTCATCCAGAACTATCCCACAATTTCATGAGACAACTTCCATAGTCCTCTTAATGGATGGTGCTTACTGGTTCCAATTAACTGGTAATCAGAAGGGGCTGGAGCACCTCCCCACCTGCTTCAGGAAGGGGGCTGCCCCGGGTCTGCAGGGGGCCTGCTGCAGACAGGGGTTGCTCTCATCCAGATCAGCCCCTATTTCTGGGGAACTCGGGGGCCCCACAGGCAGGGATTGCTCCTGTGTCCAGAGCAGCCTCTCTCTGTGCGGGAGTCCAGTTTGCTATGGACAAGGGCTGCTCCGGAATGGGCTGGGAGCCAGCAGCAGCCCCAGTATAACCTAACATTAACTGGTTAACTGATGAATTGGAATTTACATCCCTAATGAGAGGTACTGGAACTGCATTTTTCGAAGTTACTGCAAAATTATCAAGTGTCCTCTGTTTCCACAAACCAGAATGACAATACTGAACTAACCATGACAATTACAGGGTGGAGAAGACCATATCACTAACCCTTGAAAGGTACATTGCTCATGGAGATCAGTGGGGCTGGACTATTTTATATGTAAAGCTACTGAGATATGTATATGTCAGTACCATGATGGCAATGCCTTTGTTATGTAAATAATACCTAATAATAATTGCCAAATAAGACCACTTCCCAACCTGCTTACAAAGCGCCTGTGTAGTTATTCAGGAGGGAGGTTGGGATTTACTGCCGAGGTGTCCTCACAGGTCTCTGGCTCCACTGATGATGATAACCAGAAGGCTGCTTGCATGTGTGCTCAGTGATGTGTACCGTGTCGACTTGCGCACTTAGTCTCCACAGCAGACCCCAAAAGATCTCCCAAAGACCACAAACCAGATAAGGATCGAAGGGGCCAGGTTTATTGCTAAGTGAAGTACAGTAATAGTTGTTAGTAGACTCTACTGAACCTCTATGCATATGTACCCCGTAGCAATGGAATGACTCAATCAGTGGGAAATTTCCACTGCCCCCTAGGTCATCCAAAGACGGTCTCCCCCTCTCTTCCCCCCCGACACCACTTTATATACAGGTACAACAAGTCACACCTCACTGCTGATGTTGTCAGGTGACCACCCTCTGATGCTTCTTAGATAGCACCCATCTCCCTGTACCTCATGGTTTGATTAGATCATCTCTATCCATCATGCTGTCATTTTAGACCCTTTCCTGAACCTGAGTCTGTATCTGTGAGGCATGGGTACAAACATCTTTTTATATGAGCTAATGATACCATGTGCTTTCCACTTATGACCAGTACCAATTATTGTTCTGCAGTCGGTACCTAGTACCAATTAGTGTTTTGCGCTCTCAGCCCTATTCATGCCAAGTTCTGCAAGCTGGGGCCTGCCTCTTACTCACAGCTTAGTTTAGCTTTATGCTAGTCAAGTTTTGTCCATTGTTAGCTAGGCCTCAGACCAGGCCATTGCTGCACTGGCTTATGTTTTAGGCCTTCATCTTACTACAGCCTGATCCAATTTAATTTTAAGCTAGGATTGGGCCCAAAGCAATCTGTTGATATTACTCAAGAAGATCCAGGTAATATTTAGTCATCCTTCAAAAATATAAGGGATCAGTCAGTCAAAGCCCCACTGCCTGGTAGAGGCGATCTTTGAAGAAATATGGAGAAACTTTGAATTTACTTTGGACAGCAGAGCTTTCTTTCTCTGGATGTGGGATTGTTAGCATAGATTTCACTTTGTGTCAGAATAACTCGGAAATGTGTTGTCACACCTAACTCCATTCGAGTGTAGGCAATGTGCAGCCCAAAGACAGAACAATTCCTTTGAAGCTGTAAGTCAAAACATCTCAATGAGCTCACAAAGGCTTGTTCACCATGACACAATCCTTTCTGCCTCTCTGTGGATGCACCAAGTGTTTTCACTTGGCATCTTAACACATTGTTTAAATCATCAACTGCTTGGATGAGGAAAAATTCATAAGGAGTCTGTCCATTATCCACATCAGAGTGACAGTGTGATTTCACCACTGTGGTAACAGACCCGAAATCTCTGTGAGCAATTCTGGAGCAAGAGGAAGCCTGGGGAGGTTTCTCGGGGGGAGAGGCCAAAGGTACCTCTATTTCAGTGATTCTCAACCTTGTTGAGCCAGGAGGTCCACAGACCAATGTAAACCTTTCCATGGACCACCAGTTGCTAATGGAAACTCACTGTTAATTACATCATTACACCTGAGCCATTTTTCTAATGTTGCAACTAGGGAGAATGGTTTAATTTAAATTATTTAACAGATTAAGCATTTTAACTTTCTCATGTTAATTTATCAAACTTCATCTTATAAATATTTCTGAAAGTTTGTTTGTTTGTTCTGAAAGATCTCAGAAACGATAAGAGCTAGAAGCACCACATTTTGAACGGATACTACTGATTTCCTAACTTAAATAACTGGATTGATTATATCTTGAAATCAGTTCTCCCAGAGCCCCAATTGGACCCACTGATAATTAGCTTTTAGTAGCACCTGATCATAGAAACACAAAATTTTTCATGGGTATTACTGATTTCCTAACTTCAATTACTGGATTGGTTAATCTCAAAATCGGTGCCCCCAGAGCCCCAATTGGGCCACTAATTAGCTTTTAGTAGCGCCTGATCATAGGCATTTGCTGGACTCTTCTGTTAAGTGTGTGACATAAACTGCAACTACGAGATCCTTTCCCTATGATATAAGAAAAAGTATTTCCAATAAAATATGCTATGTTAACGTCATTGACGTAGTTCATTCATCACCCCTTTCACTGTATTTTCCCCGGGCGATGCCGGATATTTCTGCTAGTTTTAAGTAAAATAAAAAAAGATTGTTAATCATAGATTCTGGAAAGCCTTTTTTTTTTTTTCAAGTGCAAATCCTAAATTCAGTCCTTTTCTCCTAAACTATTTCTCTGTAATAATCCTTGTGTTCCAAAATGATGGACTGCTAATAAACTTCTCAAAAGACTTTTGGAGCAAACCAATTTACCAAGACCACTTTTGAGCTGGCCAAGATATTGAATTCCCAAAAGAAACTGGAAAGACCATCTGGGGAACCCAGAATTGGGTGCACTTGCACAGACAGGAGAGCTGATAAGATTAATGAAATTTAAGTTATTCATTGCAATGTCCTATGTGATATTTTTTTATAAAAATATTTGTGGACAAGATGATGTGTTTATTGGGGTATATATGTGGTGTTTGTACTCAGGGAGGTGAAGATGGTGTCTGTTAGTGGGAAGGCTTTCTAGTGGAATGAGTGTGTTGTTTTTTAAACTAACGATAATGTGTTTGATGGTTAAACCAAAAGCGTATAACCTAATGATGAAGTTCTGCTATTGTAACCTAGCTGCAGTCTCTGACAGTACAGGAATATAATAGTATAGTCGATTAACCAGTAAGCAAAAGCTTATAGGTTAATGCTATAGACTACATGCATTTCCCTCTCCCCGTTTCCCTGCCAGTAAAATTTTTTAGCAGGCTGGCCAGAGCCTGGCTCAGTCCTGGCTCATGTTGGGTACAGGACCTATCTGCGTTTCAGCTCTGCATTTCAAGTGTATTAAGAGCCAGGCTGGCAGGCAGCCCGGCTCAGTTCTGGCTTGTGCTGGGTCTAGGAGCTCAGACCGCCCCCTAGACAGGGACTGCTGCCACCCCACACTGCTGCCTCTTTCTCAGAAGCAGCAGAACAGGGTGACAGGTATCTGGTCCCACCTGGCACCCCGCACTGCTGCCTCTGGTACAGTGGCTGCTGGCACTGCCCCTGGGAACTATAGACTAGTCAACTAACCGATAAAATTTCATGAGGTTACTCGACTATTCACTTAACCAGTGGTCCCCAACGTTGTGCCCGTGGGCGCCATGGCGCCCACCGGGGCATTTATGTGCACCTGCCTAGTGACCAGGGCCAGCCTGAGCCATTCTTGCGCCCCAGGCGCACGGCGCATGTACGGCCCCGGCCCCGGGCACCCAGCAACCCCAAAAAGTTGGGGACCACTGAAATTTAACCGATATTAAACGTCCCTGTGATAGTAAGGATGTAACCATATAACTGTTTAAATGGTTAACTGATAAGCATGAGCTTATTGGATACCATAATGATGACATGCATGCTCCCAGCTCTGCTTCCTGGGAGCAGGGCTGGGGGACAGGCTCCTGGTACACACTGGCTTCACAGAGCCAGCTGCTGCAAGCTCTGCAATATAAACTTTATACTGCAGATCCTGCAGCATGTAACTGCTGAGGTTTTCAGGGGTTACACAGTTACCTAATTAACCACGTTTTAATCTCCCTATCTGACTGTGTGTTCAATTGTGAGATGCGAGAACACTGAATATGTAATGGAAATTCATTGTCATGAGCATCCTTTGTTATACAGCCTTATTCTTGGGGTGATAGCTCCTTTTTCTGTTTAGTGCCCTCATTTGTGCTCTACTCTCTAATCTCTCTGGGTTTTTGTTCCTTCTTGCAGGCCTTTCAGGGTGAGAACATGCCTGTCTTTGATCTGCTGATTTTGGGAATAGGGCCAGATGGTCACACCTGCTCCCTGTTTCCAGACCATCCACTTCTGCAGGTGATCTTACAGAGCCAGGGAGGGGATATTAGATAATGGGATAAGAATGTGCATTTTGTTCATGACAGTGATAAGACATTTTCTCCATTATAGTTTGTCCGTAGGTGGTAAGTTTGAATGCATGCATGTGTGTGGATTTTTTTTAAAGAGTTTGATGAACGATTCTGAGGTATGGCATTAGAACTTGGCAGCTGCCAGTATTTGGAATATGATTTTAAAAAAAAAAAAAAAAAAAAAAGGAAAATGGGAACAAGAGGAAAAGTGGCTGGAATTTGACTTTCCTCTCTACTTAGCCCTGATTCATATGGGTATAATTCTCTGCCCATGTGGAACCCTGTTGACTTCAGTCAAACTGTACATGAATGCATGAGTCTGCCTAGAATAATTTAGAGTTGGTTAATGCTGAACAGAACCTGAAGTCTGATAATGATCTTTGGTTTCCTTTTACTGGCTGTTTAGTCAGTCAAATAGCACAAGCTTGAGTTTGGTGAGGCTACCTACCCTTTGCTTTGACTCTTGTGTCTACAATGTTCTGATCAGTTTTCACACTTTGGGCTTTGTTTTTCATGACAGGAAAAAGAGAAGATAGTTGCTTCTATTAGTAATTCTCCAAAGCCGCCAGCTGAACGGATAACTCTAACGTTGCCTGTTTTGAATGCAGCACGGACTGTTGTATTTGTTGCTACAGGGGAAAGTAAAGCTGCCATCTTAAAGGTACGGTTTAAAAATGAAGAAAATTGTTGATTGATGAAAACCCAACATTTAACAGTTTTTCTGCCAAAGCATCAATTTAGTTAAATACATTTTCCACAGAAAAAAACATTTTGATGGAAACAGTTTTGGCCAGCTGTAGAAAGTATAGGATTGGTGAACACTTCCATGCCTATCTCATTGCTCTATGGGTCCCTGGATTAATGGGACTGGCAGTGCTAATGCTCTGTTTCTTTGGACAGCGCATTTTGGAAGGCGATGAGGAGAACCCTCTCCCTGCTGCTCTTGTCCAGCCTCATACTGGGAAGTTGCACTGGTTTCTGGATGAGTCTGCGGCCAAAGAGCTGACTGTTCCCTTTGAGAAGCATTCTATCTTGTAGAACCAAACACCTGGCTGGGTTTCAGGATGGTGATTCAGGAGGACTGGCTGCAGTTCCTGCATAGAGCCGGCTCTACAACATTCCGGATTGAGGACTCTGGTCATAGTACTTGAGTGTGGCACTAAACTAACATTGTCTATTTCTCTTTTTTTAATCAAGTGGTACTTTGTGGATCACTGTAATAACCTATGGTTGGGGAGGGGAGATATAAGACTCCCAAATCTGATCTCTAGCTGCAAATGGGAATGCTGGTCATGCCGTCTGTCTTGTGAGCGGTTAATGTGGTGTGATGTGAATGCACAATATTAAAGATGTATGTTTCAGGTTTTCGGCTCTTGTTTATTTTATCTTCAGATATTACTTGTTGCTTAAATATCAGCTAAGGTTTTGATCTTCATCCCTTTATCCTTGTGAGGAAAGCTATAAGAGTATGTATACTCCTTTAAGGAGAAGCAGTGCAGATGAAGAGGTGAAGTCCGAGGCCTATTCACAAATATTTGTTTGGAAATGTCCCAAACAACTTTGGAGTTAGGATAACTTTTAGTTTTGAGAGTTTTATGGAGCCTTTTTGGGCTCTTGTTCCGGCTCCACTGTTACCCTTTCATTGTACAATGCACTAGGATGCTGGCTGCTGTGCCGCTGGCTGCCAGGCCACAGTGACTTTGTGGGCTTGAGCAGGGGTGCACTGCCCAGCACCTCCTCTCCCGCTGGGGCTGTTGGGAGAGGTCTGTCCTGTCTTGCCTCTCAGCCAACCAGCGCTGGGCAGGGGCAGGGTCTCTTTCTGGATGTGGAGGAGTACTTCACTGTGCGGCGGGAGGGTCGTGTGGAGCCGGGCAAAGCAGCCTTAGAGCAGCCGTGACCCAGGCAGCAGTACACAGCAGGGAGGCATTTTCAGGGTAGGGGAGGGGTGGGGCAGCCAGACACTGGAAGTTCCAGGGGTGGGGCTAGTGCTGGGGGCTCCAGCCATGGGGGACTCTAAGAGGCATGGGCTGGCACTGGGAGGCTCTGGGGGTGAAGCTAATACTGGGGAGCTCTGGGGTGTAGGGCTAGTACCAGGGACCTCTAAGGGATGTGAGTCTCTAAGAGGTGGGGGACTGACACTGGGGCATCTGGGGTGGGGAGCTGGCACTGGGGGGCTCTGGTGTGGAGCTAGTAGTGGGGAGGGCTGTGGGGGCAGGGCTGGCACTGGGGAGTTCTGGGAATGGGGCTAATATTGGGGTTGGGGGGGCTTGGCACTGGGGAGGGCTCTGGGGGGGTTGGGTGTAGTGGGTCTGGAAACAGGAGGCTGGTACTGATGGAGGCTGGCAGTGCTGCTGGGGGTAGTGAAGAGGTGGGGGCTCTAGGTGTTAGAGCTGGCATTGGGGGTACTGGGGCTTTTGGTGGAGTGGTAACATTTGCTTATTTGCATAATATGCAAATAAAATGTTACCAGTTTGCCAAAAAATTGTGAATGGGTTTGTTGGTCCATCCATCAAACATGGATATCAGTAGTACTTGCATGTTTTGGCAACTGCTGGGGGTAGTGAAGAGGTGGGGGCTCTAGGTGTTAGAGCTGGCATTGGGGGTACTGGGGCTTTTGGTGGAGTGGTAACATTTGCTTATTTGCATAATATGCAAATAAAATGTTACCAGTTTGCCAAAAAATTGTGAATGGGTTTGTTGGTCCATCCATCAAACATGGATATCAGTAGTACTTGCATGTTTTGGCAATTGGTTACTTTGTTTGTGAATGTACTCTGTGGTGATTCTCTCAGATTTCTAGAACATAGTGTACTTTGGCTATTGGCCAGAGTTACCCTCTTTGATTGTTGTGTTGTTCATAAATATGGATGCTGCAGAGCCATACATTTCAAAAATCCTCATAAGTGCACTTTGTATTACTGAGATATGAGAGAAACTTAATCTTTAGTTTCTTGTCATCTTGCATTTCAGACAGTCATGGCCTTGTGCCCTTCTGTTCATCCGTGACTGTTTCCACTGACGTCACCATTAAGTTATCAAGAACATGTTCCTGTGGCTACAGTCAGTCCCAGAAGAGGAAGATTCTGCCAAAGTGTTAGATTGGCTTGAGAGCTACAAGTCCAGGTTTTTGATCTTTGGAAACAAGGCAAGAAGCTGATGGTAATAATACTACTGCTTCATACTCAGAGCACTCAAGAGTCTCCAAGTGCTTTACAATGGGGAATAAATAATATTATTGTTGTTATTATCAGTTGAAAAAACGGAGGCAACGAGGATAAGTGACTTGCCCTAGGTCTACAGCAAAACTGGCAGAGTAGGGACTAGAACACAGGAGTCAGGACTTCGAAACTGTAGATCTTATATGTTATGTAAATGTGATATGTGGATGCTGACAGAACTTTTTCCACAAAGAATTGAAGCCAGTATTATGATCCAGAATACCTGTCTCCTCTCCTTCCATGGATGTATTCCTTTCAGAGAGTGAGCAAGCACTTCCAAGGTATTAGGATGACAAGTATATATACAGTAAAACTCCAATTGTCCGGCATCCAGTGGTCCGGCACTCCTGATAGGCACCAACTGGAACCCGGAAGTGCTCCGGCCAGCTGGACAATTGGAGCTGCCCAGAGGCAGCGGCGGAGAGTGGACGAAAGACAGGCAGCTGTTTAGGGCAGGCGGGGGAGAGGTGTCGGCAGGGAACAGTGAGGTGAGGGGTGAACCCTCTTCTGTGTTGCGGAGAGGCAGTGAAAGCCCCTCCCAGCCAGCTTGCAAGCAGGGAAACTCAGGCGCCAGCTTGTAAGCGGCAGCGGCAGAGAGGGGGCAAGAGGCAGGCAGCATCCCCAGCCAACCCCCACTCCCACCCCTGCCCGCCCGCCTTAAACAGCTGCCTGCCTCTCGCCCCCTCTCTGCCGCTTACAAGCCGGCGGCTGAGTTTCCCCGCTTGCAAGCTGGCTGCACAGGGCTTAGACCCCCTCCCCGCAACACGGCGGAGGGTTCGCCCCTCCCCCCGCCCGCCTTAAACAGCTGTCTTCCTCTTGACCCCTCTCCGCCCCCGCCCCTGGGCAACCCACATTGTCAC